GGGATTATCCATGGTCTCCTCTGTGCCGTTGGTGCTGGAGCAGCTGGGAAAAGCTCCTGTGCCGCTCGCCGAGAGGCAACGCAGCCTCAGGGATGTCCCCGAGCTCCCTGTGAGGATGGGGGATGAGCTCCCACACCGGGGGCTTCCTGACGTCGGGATCCTGCTGTTTTGAAGGATGAAGAACCTGGTGGTCCAGGCTCGGCCGGGGGTCGGGCAGCCCCTCAGGAGCATCCCGCAGGCACAGACCCTTTCCAGGATCCCCGCTCCACCCCTGCCCCAGCCGCTGGGTGTGAACCCAGGAGCCGCAGCGATGCCTTTAGCAAAGGAAAGGCACAGGGGAGAGTGGGGAGCTCCGGGCTGGGGCAACTGGGCAAAAAATGTGAATTAGGCTCCTGTCAAAGCAGACACGGCTGTGCCCATGCCACGTTGCCGCAGGGCCGCTTTGGGGATGCTGTTGGTTGTAAATGTGGTTGACGGTGAAGTTGTTGTCCTGTTTTGTCTCTGTGTGAAATAAACCTTTGAAACTCCCCAATGCCTTCGAATCTGTGCCAAGCAGGGAGACGCTGCCTCCACGTGTGCTGGTTTCCATTTTAGAGCTTTAGTTGTCGGTTTGGTGGCTCTGGGAGAGAGGGTCCCTGATCCCTGCAGCTGCCCCCCAGCACAAGCAGGTCCTGCGTGTCCCCCTCTGTGATACCCTGAGACCCTCTGTGGCCAGCAAGGGGACACGGGGCAGTACCAGCTTGTCAGCTGCTCATTAGCCCCTTAGGAGCCCCCATGTTAATGAGTGACTTCCCAAATGGCAGCATACCTGGGGGTGAAGGGAGGTGTCAATGGGAATGGGGGGGGGCAGGTCTCTGCATGCCCCAAAGGCAGGACCAGTGTCACCTCCAATCAAGCTGGAGTTGGTGAAGGTGGGCTTCCCAGTTTGGGATGGGTCCAAGTGGGGGGGAGGTGGGTGGTGTTGGGGGAGGTGAGTGCATTGGTGCCACCTGCCCTCCTGCAGCACCTGCACTGCATTCCCAAAGTGCACCTCCCTCAGGGCCCTTTGCATTAAAAGCAGCAGGGATGGAGGCTGATGTTTGCTGCTTTCCTGGTAGGTTTGGGATGGGATGGGATGGGAGCAGCTCCCTCTGGGCCCCCAGTCCTGGTGCTGGGTTTTGCTGCTGCATTAACCACTGATGCTGGCAATACTCTTGGTGCTGGTGTGGCATTTGGAGCCCTCCAAGTGCTCTCTCTGTACTAAATGCCTCTGCTGATAGTGCTCTCTTGCTGCAGGGAGGCTCCTCGTCCTCTTAGAGCTGGCTTTGTAAAGGTATTTAACTGGTTTTCCCTTTCCTTAGGGGATGCCTAAGCAGCCGGGTGCTTTTATCCTTCCCTGACCAGTGCTGTCCTGCTGAGGGGGCTGCTGCTGCTGTTTGCTCTCAGCACTCCAAGGCCCTATTTTATCCATATATTTCTGCTCCAACAGCTCAAGGCTGTTCTCTCTGGTGTCTGTCACAGGAGCTGGTTCCTACTATTGGATCACTGTGGAGGATGAGCTGCTCCTCTTCCTTCTCTGGGTTGCTGACGGAGGAGCCACCCGTCACTGCACTGTGGGGTACAGAGCTGTGGGACCTGAAAGTGGGGGGACAGTGGATGTGAGTGGTGTGCATGGGGGTGTTTCCTGCTTTTCTGTGGTGTGTGCACCCAGGAAAGCCTCCCCTCTGCTTTGGGGTCACACAGGGGGATCTTAGATGATGCTGTGTCCCTGCAGGCTGCCAGTTGAGCACGGGCACCCGCAGCTGCGTGGTGAAGGAGGACAATGACTTCCTGGAGCACCTGGTGCTGCTGAGGACGGTGAGACCCCCCCTTGCCGCAGAGCCCCTCGGGGCCAGCCCCTGCTCTGGCTGATGGCCACGTTCTGCTCTGTCCCACAGATCTGCTTGGGGGCTGAGGCCAGGGACGAGCTGCACGTGGTGGCTGTGGACTCAAAGAACACCTATGGGGACCACAAACCGGTGCCCATCGCGGCGCTGCGGACATCGGTGTTGCCCATGGTAAGGGCAGGTGAAAGCCCAGCATTCAGCCACTGTCTATGGGGTAATAACATCCCCCCAGGATCCTGGTGTCCAGGTCCATCCCACCTCCCTGCTGCACAGGAGCTCCCATCCCATGATGCAGGGGTTAACCTGTGCTGCTGCCCCCCACAAACTGGGTTTGGGGGTTTCTGAGCTCCACCTCTTTGCAGGTCAGCCTCAAAGGTCTGGAGCTGGTCCCTCCCGTCACCTTCGTGCTCAAGTGTGGAGCTGGACCAGTCTATCTCAGCGGGCATCGTGTCACTTGTGAGTGGTGGGGGTGCTGGGGGGTGGGGGTGCTG